CGAGGAGTGGAATGTGATCACCATCTTCTTTGATGGGATTAGAAGAGAGTTCAAGCAAGCTTTGAACACGACATCCCGTGGAGGATTTACTTCTATGGAGCCCGGAGCCGCCTATGACCTCATAGAGAACATGTGCTCCGATGCTAATGAATGGGGTGGAGAAAAGAGCTCACGAAGGAGAGGCGGTATGCATGAAGTCGACAAATTCACCGGCTTGGAAGCACGAATCGAAGCCAAGTTGGATGCCAAATTCGATGCACTTGAACGGAGAGTGGCCAACCTCTCTCTTTTCCGCTAACCAAACTATTTCTTGTAAGTTGTGTGCAGGTGCTCATCATCGAGAACAATGCTCCATATGAGCTGCCCAATTGGAGGAAGTTCAATTTATCAATAATCAAAGAAACCAAGGTTGTGCCTACTCCAACACCTACAACACGGGATGGCGCAAACATCCAAACTTTTCATGGTCAAATAACAACAACACTGGAATTCGTCCCAACAACCCACTACTGGGTTTCAACCTCAACAACCTCGAGAGGAGAAGAAGTCAAATCTTGAAGAATTGATTCTTGCCTACATGCAGAAAACGGACAACCATATGAAGGGGTTAGATCAATTTGTGACACATACAAGCACCCACATTCAACAACAATTGGCCCTCAACAATAATGTGCAATCATCCATTTTGGTAATGGAGCGACAAATGGGTCAAATGGCTCAAACATTGGCGGACATTCAAGGTCGCATCCCGGGTACTCTCCCCGCAAACACGGAGAGGAATCCAAGGGATGCCAAGGTGGTAGCCGTCACCTTAAGAAGCGGGAAGGAGTTAGAAGATCCAAAGGAAAAGAAGCAACCACGCATGGGGGAAGATGCAGAAAATTCTGCTGAAGAAAATGCAAAAGCAGATGTGCAGGCTCAAAATGCAAGCACTTTGCCACTACACATGCATTCGTCAACTACACCTCCAAAATGTGAAAAATTAAAAGATGAGGTGGTTAAACCTTATGAACCACCTGCACCCTTCCCTCAAAGGTTGATGAAGCCCTTGGAAGACCCAAACTTCAAAAAGTTCCTAAATCTCTTCAAACAACTCCACATCAACATACCTTTGGCGGAAGCATTGGAACAAATGCCTACCTATGCTAAATTCTTGAAGGAGTTACTCACAAAGAAGCGCAAGTGGTCCGATATTGAGATGGTAACCCTCACCTCTGAAGTGTAGTGCAGTGATTCAAAATAAAATACCGGAGAAAAGAGATGATCCGGGGAGCTTCACCATTCCTTGCACCATTGGAGATAAGGATTTCACTAAATCCCTTTGTGATCTTGGAGCGGGGATCAACTTGATGCCTTACTCGGTTTACAACAAATTGGGGTTGAGAGATGTGATTAAATCAACACAGATCACCTTCCAATTGGCGGACAGATCAGTGAAGATTCCAAAGGGTATGGTGGAAAATGTGCTAGTCAAAGTGGGAAGGTTCATCTTCCCGGCAGATTTTGTGATCTTGGAGATGGATGAGAACCGGGAGGTGCCTCTCACTCTTGGAAGACCATTCCTCACCACAGGTGGTGCACTTATAGATGTCCAAAAGGGAGAACTTACATTCAGAGTATGTGGAGAAGAGGTAAGATTCAATGTTTACCGATCAAGTAAGTATCCCGACTCTTATGATGATGTATGTGTGGTGGATGTGATAGAATCATGCACCGAAAAGGTTCTCAACAATGATTATAATTATGATTCTGATTTTGATGATGATGTTGAACATGAAAACCTAACCATGTCAAAAAGGGCACAATTGCTTGAGGCTGTGACAACCCGACTTTTGGGTTCAGGTTCGACCATAATAAATGAATGATTGGATTGACGTTTAGGTACAAAGTGTTTCAATCGCAAATCAGAAATAATAGTAATAATAATAACAATTATTATTACCTTATTATTATTATAGGGAACGACTCGTATGCTCCAGACATATACTATACTCCAGACTCCATCACCGTAGATCTAATCAGACGATCCATATTTATTCGGATAAATTATTTATTTATTAATAATTATAATTACTGATGACACCCATTAAAATTTTATACGTACTATATAGTCCTTCAACAATTTTTATCAATGTTTTTATATTCTAATACCTTTTCTTTTGATAATTCTTTCTAAAATCCACAATTTATATCATGTCGATATTTGGTTGATTGGCATCTCAAGTGAAATTCAATGTCATTTTTGCAATCGTCATCAGTATCAAATAGATTCCTTTTAGTTACGCAGATGAAATTAACTCATTCATTGTTATGAACCCAGATTTCTATCCTCCCGACCCTTCCCCTCCCCTCTCGTTTCTGCTTCGTAGATCTATCTCCGACGAAGAATCTCCACTAGAAATCGTCTGCCCATCTCTCTCAAGCTCTAATCCTTCTCGTCCTTCTGTCGTTCGTTCTCACAAATGGCAGCCCTAGCTGCCGCCATCGGTTCCTAGCGCCAGGCTCTCTTTTCCATCTTCTTTGTATTTGAAGCAGAGAACTAAACGTAGTTGGGGAAGAGGAGATGGACAGTGGTGGCTTAATCACGGCCGGCGCCTCCGCCCTCAGTCTTTCCATCCTCCTTGTTTCTTCTTCTCGGCGGCAAACGGAGGTAAAGGAGGCCTAGATTGAGGACGACGAAACAGTGGCCTCAACCAGGGTATAGTAGGTAAAGATCCGGATCGATGAAGCGACACCCTTCGATTAATCAAACACGCTAATGGTGGGTTTCTATTTTGAAATCTGATTTTTGGCCATATGAATGCTAGCTAATCACCCTGTCCATCCTCCTCCCTTTTCTTTTCGGCAGCGAACGGACGGAAAGGAGGCCTAGATTAACGACGATGAGACAACGGCCTCTACCACTGGATAATAGGGCAAACCTGGATCGATGAAACACGACCTTCGATGAATCAAACACGGTATTGTTGGGTTTCTAATTTGTAATCTCAGTTTCGACCATATGAATGCTAGCTTATAACCTATTTTGTGCACCTAGTCATCTAATTCCCTTGCAAAAGGTGAATCAGAGGCAGAGGACGGCAGGGGACGGTCCAAACCGGAAGGGAACTGGTAAATTGGACTAGCTAGGGACTGAGGTGAGTTTCCAGTTGAAGAATAAATTTTAAATTTATGTTGCATGTGAGATGATTTCTGAGTTAATGAACTCGTCGGAGTATTTGTATTTCAAAAGGGATGAATCATGGTTTAAAGAATATACAAAAATCTGTAAGCACTCAAGCTAAATGTTATTGCTAAATCACATACGTATGCCCAGTTAAGTTTCATATTCCGTTCTATCCTGTTAATGTCGAATTTGCATAACTATCGTTTTGGATGCTTGATTCTAGGATTTGGATGAGTTCGAAACAAAGTTTGTCTCCCCACCGTGTTAGTAATAGTTGGGACCTTTTTGAGGAGAAATGATTTCAAAAGATGTAAGACTTTTATCATTAAGGAATTTGCTGGTTTTCATTAGTGCTACAGAGTTTAACCCATACTCTACTATTCTAGCACTTGAATGCATGGATCCCACTTCATACAATATATCAAATTAAACAATCTTCATATCGTTTTAGTATTAATGTTGTAATGCTTCAGAGAGTTTAAATTCATTGTAGTTGCTTCTAATGTCTGTCACCTTTCTTACTAGGGGCATCTACTGGCTACAAAATTGTTTGCAAGGGAATTGCATCCCACCTTGGTTACTGATTCTAAAGCCTATGTAAACCTGATCATTTTAACTTAGGTTATCTTGTTCTTGTTGTGTTGTGTGGTTCTGGAGTATGTGTTATTCTTCTTGCTCTTTCTAGTTAAGTATTGGAAATGGGATTGGCATGCTAGCTGCCCGATTAACTTTCATAGAGCGTGACTGATGCTATAGTCTCATTTCCTTTTAGTTGTCACTCAGAACATGCATGGCTGAAAAACCATTTGGTATTTTGTATTTGTAAAAAAATTCAATGATGTTTTCATTGGCATTGTGAAGCAATGATATCTATCATAATTACAACTGGATCTTTAGAAGTTTCTAGTGAATGACAGATATGGCAGCCTTGTACATATCGCTGGAGATAACTATCTCATTTGCGTCATGTTCCCTGATGATCTTCCACTGTTAATTGCTAAGAATAATGGAATTGGTACTATTATCGTATGAGGAATGAACATGATAAATTTTTTTTTTTTACTGTGGTGTGATGTTTAGATTGAGATGTCCTTGACAGTGAGGTTATTGTGTGAACAGGAAATGTGTAGGCATTGTCAAGACCTCTATATAGGAGACTGCCCCTTTGTGATGAATGATTTGTTGCTTCAGAGCAGGTGTTGTGTTCGTGGGTCGATGGATGTCGGAGAGCGTAGGGGATTATGCGAGTAGGACAACCTTGTGTTTCCGACTACGCGCATAGGTATGGCTGCATATGAAGTATGTGATAATGTAGTGTATAACGAAAGAAGGCCTGGTAGTTTTCTTTCGTGTGTGACGAACATGACTGCAGTGGAAGGGCTTGATGCCTAAAAGAGGGCCTTTGCTTTTAGACTCCAGAATATAGAGGCCATGCTGCAGCAATAGTGAGTGACCACAACGTAGAGATGGCATATAAAGATTCTCATTTTCTTTCCTCTCTTCTGCAGTTGCCATAATCAGAACCAAGTGACCTCTTTTGTTTCATAGCCTTATTGCTCTGCAAAAATGTATGTCCTTCTCAGTTAGTGTACCATGGTATTGCAAAGAAACCAATGAAGATAATCTTCAACGTATTCTCTATTGTAATCCTAATCTCAGTCCTAGTATTATGGAACTAGATGGCTAAACGTCGTCCTAGTTTTGTTTATCGCCCTAACAAAAAAAAAATATTACTAACTTGTCCTTTACTTAATTTTTTTATGATTTATTTAATCAAATTTAAATTCAACTAAAACAACTCTTCAATTGCTAATCCTCCAACATCGCTCGCCACCGCGTCTTCAAAATCCCTTCATCGGTATCCTTCTCCAACTGCACCTGGTCGTCGTTCCTACTCCCAGGTCGTCTCTCTCCAAAATATATGGGCGAATAATTAGTTGGAGATGAAGGCCTTGGAAAGTTTGAATTCAACTGATCTCTCATCCAAGAAAGGGAGGGATGCATGGTTGTGTGCTGCCTTTTCATTCACTGCTTGTCGTCCGAAATGAAATAAATGAATTGATCTCTTCTATGTGTCCTAATGGATTCGATTATGATGCATATATGGTGGTGGTGTTCACAACTCGGATATTAATTGGGTGGACGAAGGATGATTAATCGGGTGAGAATGCAAAGGGGATTGAGTTTAATTTACCATGAGGGGCAGGATGGCTGGAGGAGAGTACAGATTACACGGTACCGAGCTCTATTTCGGCTATCGGAAATCGGATTTGCGATAAAGTATAAGTTTAATTAATGTGCGTAATTGAGACAAGAAAGCCTCATAGTCGAGCAGATGCTAATATATTCTATCACTTGCAGGTCATGCGCTCAAAACCTGATGTTGACAATTTTGGTTTCAGAATTATATTTTAGTATATTTTACTCAAGCTCTATAGACCAATAATGTCTTTTTTATGGTTGATCAATTAAGTTTTTTCAACTAGAAACTAATGTGATTTTTAGTAGATAATGAGTAAATTGTTAGTTTAGACCTTATTTTAAATTGAACTTTATCATGCTAACAAATTTTAGTTGAAATCCAATTTTAAATGACTTACCCATCTTAAAAAGTATAGTTAACGTAATATCAAAAGTAATTTTATTTATTAGTTGAATTATTTTTAACGCTGTTCTGTGACACTAAAGTAAAAGAATCTTGTTTCCCCAAAGGCCAAATCCTGACTCCGCCCCTGATTAGCAGTCTTATGCATCATTCTCTAGGAAAAACCCCAAGCCTTCGCTAGTTAGTATACATTAATTTGCACAACTCGTGGGGTACCAATAGTTGACTTCTTGAGTGGATGGATATGTCTCACTTGGACTTGATGATTTTCTATTACTTTGTGAATGCAAATGAAACTATGAACCGCGACGCTTAACTCGTGACACGCCAACCGCGGTGACGCCTAACCATGACTCTTAACAACCTTTATGGCTATATAAGAGCTTCCAAGTCCTCAAAGGAAGGGACTCAACTTCCTTTTTTATAAGTGTGATGGAAGGAACTCAACTTCTCCCCCCTCACTTCACACCTTGGTCCTCCCTCTAGACTTTATCTCTTTACATAGTCTCTCAACACTCTCTCTACCATCTGCTAACTTGATTGTCGGAGTATAATTCAGAGGCCATCCCCGTCTTTCCACAGGTTCCCTTCCTTCGGACGAGATCAGACGAGTGGTTCGTGAGTCAAGCCCCACAACAACAAATAATCAGTGTTCGTATCCTGAGCTAGATGGTACGAACAGTATCTTATTTAGCCAATTTATTTATAGGTAGGAGTATTGGAGATGTATGCGTCTAAATCGGTCGCTAACCCATGTATAAGGTTCTTGTAGTAAAAAAACATGATGAGGCTTATGTCTACGTTGGAAGATCGATGCGTGTGAGGGTTTGATATTGGGAATTCTACATGTTACATTACGCCTCATTGCATATTTTGTCCTAATTAGGGATGCAAACAAGCCGAGTGTAGTCGAGTTTTTGTTTTGCTGGCGCTTGCTCGTTTATAGATTTGTCGGCTTGAGTTGAGTTGAACAAGAATTTTGATAATCTAGCTCGAACTTATGCTCGGCTTGAAAAAACTTTGCATCTAGTTATGCTCATTAACAAGATAATGTTCATGTTCAAAATAGTAATTAATCATTCCACAAGCTCAATACAAGCCAACTCGCGAGCTTAGCTTAACAATCCATCGAATAAGCTAGCTCGCGAGCTTATCAAGCTGCACATGGTCTACCTCACCCTTGACTCGTTTTTTAACGAGTTGACTTGTTAAATAACGAGTTGAGTACCAAACTAGGTTTTTCTTTTTTCGAACACCGAGTTTCTCGCTAGCGGGTTGGCGCATATCTCATATGCAGTCTTGGACTCCTTATGAATATATATGTTCTTAGTTGCAAATCTTATATTTGAAAATGTAACAATAGAGATAGTTTTTAACTTTTTATAATTTCAAATCTCAAATAATGAAAGAGATAGTTTATAGCTTGTCCAAACTTTTATTAATTGTTTATTAGAAACCAAATATTCAAAATTAAACATATGTCCACATACTCGTACAAATCGAGCAGATGCCAAATGGGGATAAAAATTGAAAAAGTTAAAATTTCCCTCTCTTTTTCATCTTCCCACTTTTTGTATCCGCCAAAAGTTTGCCTCTCTCTTGTAATGGAGCCACTTCTCCCACCTCAGAAACATTATCTCCTTTTCATCTTCCTTCACCTTGTGGAAACCTCTTAGCCATGGAAGCAGCATAAATCCTAGGGACATTGATTTTAACCAACAAAGCCGTAAACAAATATAGACGGCATAATTAAACAGTCAGAGCATAGTGGGAGCTTGGTTTCTCATTCCCCAGTAGCCATGCGCTCCACCAGTGCAGCGCATTTGTCGAATCTCAGTAAGAGAGTTCATGCTTTCATCTGTTTTTTCACGACGGTTCCACTTACTCGGCGAACATGGGTGTTGCTGCTGCTGTCCATGGAAGTGACAGTGGATGCCGTCTACTCGACGATGACGTTTCGAAGAAGGAAAAGGGTTGCGGTTCAACGAAGTGCTCTGACTCTGAGATGTTCGCCTTTTCTCCCACTGGAAGGTGTGACAGAGTAGGTCACACTCGCTCTTTCTTTTTCGTTTTTCTGCCCAGATTTATGGGTTTCTGATTCCGTTCCTTTGGTTTGCTGTGTTTTTGTCCCGATGTAATGAACTGCTGGGTATGGGACCTTGAAAGACTTTGCACGATTCATTGCTGATTCTGTGAATGTTGCGTCGGTGTTTGGAGGGATGCCCGTATGTATCTGTTTCGGATCGGTTTTGCGATTCTTATTAGGTGCAAATACGGGTACAGCATTGGATGCATGAGGAGTATATCAAATCGGGTGGGTGGACTGCGCGCAATAATAGCATCTTGAAAGGGTATGAATTCTCATTTCAGGATGTGCCTTTGAAAGTAGTAGTCTTTAGATCCGTCTGTCTAGGATTTTGTTCAGCGTTACCGCATTTAACACTCAGCAGATTCCAGGAATTACCCTAATTTGGTTGTTTTTTCTTATAGTGGCAGTTCCCTAATTGCAATATGGATGACTAGATTACTGGTACCTGTGAAACCCGATCATGAATCATTGGGACTAGGGACTGAACAGGTGACTAATGTCTAGTAGAAAGAAGGAAATAAATCATGATATATCTCTTAATTATGTTTGTTTTAATTGTGTTACTTTTATATCACAACATCTGTCATATTCTATAGTTGGGGACAAGGACTCACTTGGTGATGCATCCATATTCTGTAGTTGGCAATGATACTTGAACTCATTTAACTCTCCGGTTTTGTAATGAGGCAGAACTTCGAGCTAGATTCTCTAGAGGAGCATGTCATTTTGTAAGAAGCTGAGAGATGCTACGATATCTTCTAGTCAAGGCAAACACAAAGAGGTTCGAATTACAAGACATAACTCTCAACAGACAAACTTCGACCTTGGCTTCTATTTGCCTACACTCAGCATGAAGATATGATGTAATTAGGTGAAACTTATTAAGAGAATGGCTGTGCTTATATATTTGCTTATATCTAATCTGCTTGTCCCAAGCTTCTATGTCAAAATTGTTGTTTAACTATCTGTGATCACTTCTATTGTTGTATTTCATATCTTCAGGTCGGTTGAAGATACGACTTAGCAACATGTCTTCATCTCAGGGACTTCGAGCAAATGACGGTGAAAACAATATGTTTAAGAAAGAAGAATGCTCCAAAACCAGGTATGGTCCATTCTTAAATTAATGTTGCATATGTGATGCACGGATGCCTTGATTTAAAATCTCAAACAAACGAAAAACGATAATGACAATGAACAAAGATAATACGGCAGAACTTCCATTATAAAAAAAATATGGCAGAACTTCATTTGTTTTTCTTGATGCTTCTGTTCTTTCCACCACTGGTTCTAGTCTGATGTCGTTTCTGTAGGAGAATGAAATAAGATAAAATTATATTAAAGATGTAACTTCCAACATAAAGAATCATCTAATCTTGCTAGTTAAATCATTAGTGTCATTGATTAAGTACCAGATGATGTTCATCGCCTGGACGATCCTCATACCGACTTGGACCATGACGACTACTTTCTGCATCCTGACTAGATTCTCCATGTCGTTTGTTGATTGTACTAGTACTCCTAGTACGTGGCCCCTCCTGCACAATGATAGTGTTAGGTTTTCTCAATTATAAAATCTTGGTTAAGCTAAAAAAATATATATAACCTTTTGTTGTGGTTGCCTGCCTTGTACTTGATGTACACTAGGTGGATGTCCCATGATTCCCTTCTTCTGTTACAACAAGAACAACAGTTTCAATCTTGGATCAAATTAATTGTACTAAGAACTCTTAATTTGTGTTTATAATTACCTTTGGGGGTTGACCACTTTGGTCATCATCGTCGTCTCCATAATCGTCTCCATCTTCTCTATCATCGCTTTCATCATCCATATCATCGTTCCCATCCTCTTCATCAGATGAAGATTCAGTAGCTGGCCGCACATAGTCTTCGGATTCAGGACAAGTACTAATATAATGTCCGTCCCTTCTACCGCATCTCCCACACTTCCTCTTTTTTTTTCTTGAGTTGTTTTTTCCCTTTTCGTTTCCTGCAACCCTTAAACAACACTTTATTCGAGTTCAGTATACCTTCAAACTCTGTAGGCAGGACAAATTTTTCTCTCTCACCGGGAGTTTTTTTCATCATTTCTAACTTGTCACACGCTGCTGCCATCTCACCTCGAGCAACCTCAAAAGAGAGAGGAGTTTCTGCCCCCAACAAGCAAAACCGCAAGGTCAAAAA